TCTGCAATCCTAGCTTCTCAGGAGGCTTAGATGTAAGGATCATGGTTTGAAGCCAGCCCAGGTGGGAAAGTCCATGAGATTCTTCATTCCAGTTAACAACCAAAAGGCCAGAAAAAGAGCTATGTCTCAAGCTGAAGAGCACTAAATTTGAGCAAAAATGCTCAGGGACAGCAACTAGGTCCTAAGTTCAAGCCCCAGGACTGGCAAAAAAGAAAAGGAAGGAGGGATGGGAAGACTGCATGCTACAATGTATGTATGTATATATATATATGTATGTATGCATGAATGTGTATATGTACAAATAATCTGACTAAAGTATGTCATAGAAACACCAAAATGAAATCCTTTTAAAAAACAGACACTTTGAAAAACTAAAAAAGAGAATTAGGAAGTAGAAATAGTTTTATCTAATAGGGGAAAAACAAAGGAGGTAACAATGCTTGATAGAACCACTCTGTATACTATTTTCACAATAAAAAATTTATTAAAAATGAAATATTCTTGTCTAGAATGAAAGCACTTGTGGAAAGGGGGCAGGCAAATAGGAAGGCAGGGAAATACAAATAAAATACTGATTTCTATATGTGAAAATTAAACCAGACTAGTTTGAGAGAGAGAGAAGGAAAGAAAATGTTAGAGTAGTAATTATGATGAAGTAGTACTGCATACATAATTAACTTGTTAAAAAAATTTTTTAAGAAGGGCTTTAAAGTTTCAAATTTGACGAAAATTATTTAGGACTATGACTATAAAGTAATATATTACAATAGCAAATATGTACTGCATTTTGTGAAAACAATGTACAGTGTTTAACACTGTGAGTGGACCAAATTGAAACTGTGGGCAATGAGTGGTAATGATATGTGGAACATGTTCATCCACTGTTTAATGGCAGTGGTAAGGAAAATTGTGCATTCCTAGGGGAATTGTGCAATGGGAACTCTGTACTTGTTACTCAGTTTTGTTGTAAACCAAAAACTGCTCCAAAAAATAGTCTCAATACAAAAGTTCTCAAAATTATTGTTCATTTTGTACCTAAATAATTGAAAACAACTGATATATACCACCCATAATGAATTTACCAAGACGTAGCAAGGAGACCAATCTGGCGCTTGTAAACAAATCATAAATACTACCATTAAAATATTTGTTTTCATTCTGGACTCAGAATCACAGCTAATAAACAAGTGTGGGAATGAGAAATTAAAAAACAAACAGAATGCAGCTGCTGACCTAGAAATTTCACAACTCTATTTAATGAGACACTTGATTTCCTTTCTGAATAGGTCTCACAGAAGACAGAAATGCACAATACAAAGTAAACCAATCTACAATTTCTCCTTAACTAAGGTTCCAATATTATTCCATCAAGTTTATTTTACATGATTTTTTTTAACATTTCCCAGCAGGTTACAATGGGTCTACCTTTTTCCTTGAATTTTGTTGTCCAGGATATTTTTTTAACCCGTTCTTTAAAAAATATGCCTCTCCATTAGATAAAATTATTTTAGTATATAAGTGTGATGACTTGAGGTAGATGAGCTTGAAAAAGAGAAACACAATTATCTGCTTAAAAGTATGTTTTTTTGGGGATTCTAAATGAACAAGTTTGCAAACTAGTAAAAACTAGTCTAATACTACTTAACCCTTACACTATTTAATCTCTGTAAGAGAGGACTTGGAAAATGACATGAGATAAAGGTGTAGTTCAACTGGTTTGGGCCTTCACAGCAAGCTTGGAGATCTGACAAACCGCAGTACCACTCCACAAAATGGGGGAGCAGAGGTAGATTTGTTGCTAAATAATAGGTATGAATACATGTCCCAATACAGTAAAGTAAGTAAATTCTAAAATAACTCTAGGAAACATCAATAAGAAATGGACAGAAAAATGAGGACAGAATAAGGAAACATATGAATTAAATTGACCTAACACTTTTATTTTCGTTGTGGGAAAAACCATACCTTACCACAGTGCCATGGATGGCTAGGAACAGATTTAAAACAATCCATTCAGTAAGTTTTGATAAGTTTCTTACTACAGTGAGGCACCATGCAGAATATTGGTAAATGACATCTAAGAAATGACATAAAGATAAATGACATCTAATCCCTACGGAAACTAAAGATTCACAAAGGAAAAAAATACTTCATTATCAGGAAACAAATTATACCATACTTTTATAAACCTAGTGCTTTCTGGACACAGAAATATTATGTATAAATGTTGCTATTTTTGTCTTATCTTGTAAGTTCAAACAAAAAAGATCAAACAAATGATAAAATGACCATTAAAAATGAAGTCATTTTTATAAAAACTGATAGTTGGCAATGACAGAGAAACCATGATCTTTACATTATATGTTTTCTATATAAAATGAAGTCCTATCAGGAAAAATTCTAACTTGGAATACTAGAGGTATTCCAATGGGGGTTAAATGAAATATACACTAACGTAGAGGAAGTCTGACATGATGAATGGAATTTAATTGGGTCACATTGCTTACCCTAAATGGGAGACTGCAAAGATGATACTTTCAGAGTGTTTCTTCAATTCTCTTCATAACAACAAAATTCAGAAAATACATATTTGTCTTTACTAATTAAATCAATCCCCATGGTCACCAATCACTACAAAAATATCTCCATAAAAAAATTACAAAGACCAAAATGGAGATTATTCTGAATGTTCTCATTATCATTACTGACTTACAAAGATGAAAGGAAAGTAAAATAGATGAGACTTTTTATAATCAATTCTAAAAAGATGTTCATTTCTAAAAAATAATATAAAAACAACATACTCCTTAGTACATAAATCAAATTGATAAAATCTGAAAAGGCTATAAATTTATAAAGGCTAGATATCTCTGAAAAAAAAGAACAGTTCTGTATTTCATTTAAAGACATGTAATTTTTAAAATTGTACAAAACTGAAAGTTTTACTAAGAAAATTGATAACTAATGAAAAATAAAGAATTAATTATTTATCCTTTCCACAACAATATACAGAAGGAGGCCAGAAGGTGGCTCAGTGGTAGAGTGCTTGCCTTGCATGCATGAGGCCCTGGGTTCTATTCCTCAAAAACAGAAAAGGCCAGAAGTGTTGGTATGGCACAAGTGGTAGAATGCTAGCCTTGAGCTGAAGAGCAGAGGGATAGCTCCCAGGCCCAGAGTTCAAGATCCAGACAGACCAAAAAAAAAAAAAAAAAAAAATACACACACACACACACACACACACACACACACACACACACACACACACACACACACACACACACACACACACAGATACACACAGAAGAATTACTATCTCTTGATTAAGGACATTTTAACAGAATATTAGTACTTAAAAAGCAAAGCTGGTACCAGTGGTTCACTCCTGTAATCCTAGTCACTCAGGAGGAGTGATTGGAGATTTTTATCTCCAATCAACTACCAAAAAAAAGCTATATAAAGAGCTGTAGCTCTCGTAGTAGAATGTTAGTTTTGAGCATAGAAGCTCAGAGACAATGCCCTGGCCCTGAGTTCAACCCCCAGGACTGGCACAAAACAACAACAACAAAAACTACAGGAATCATGACAAATTTTTAAAAGCCATCAGCCTACAATCTTCTGTAACATAAGTTTATATTTGTACATTTCAAACCTGCTGTCAAAATAACACTCCCTAGAACACTCACCCATCTTCACAAGAAAACACTAACATATATACAATTGCTGATCACTATATTAACCATGTGATCACAGATCATTTCACAAACAAGGACACATCTTCATATGATATCTCATATGATTTGTCTCTTAGTAAGATAATATGGTAAACACAGATATATTAGTGCAGCTTAAAGCAAAAACAAACAAAAAAAAAAACCCAAAACACTAGTAAGTCTGTGAGGTGTTATGCTACACACTCCTAATTCCAGAACTTGGGAAATGGAAGCAGAAAAAAGAAAGAGAAAGAATTTTAAAAGAAATACACAGGGTAAAGGGTAAGCCTGAAATAAACCTCCGGTTACTGTTGTTGCTTTGATTGGGTTTCTTAGGTGGCTTAGGGGTTTCAGCTCAGGAGTTCTCTCTTATTAGGCAGACTCTAGACCTTGGTTAGACACAGTTACAGAACACTTTTTAAAACTGATTTTGGAAAATATTAAGTTATGAATGATATTGAAATTTATATCAAGTGGGACTTTTCTAATTGAAAATATAAATTAGTTATGTAGAAAAAATTCCCTATTTTAAGGAAATATTTAGTTAATTAGACTGGAATAAAGGTTAGACATGTATATCTAGTAGGATTCAAATGTTTCAGGAAAACATGCTTTTCCACTCACATGTGCACACACACACACACACACACACACACACACACCTGGTAAATTAAAATTATGGTATGTGGATGAATCCTGCATTCATTGCTTTTTTTTAGTTACTTTTTATGTTTGAATCGTTTTGTATTGCCATAATAGGTCTCATCAAAGGCCTTAAATACAAGCAGAACAACAGCGCATCACCAAAGTAAGTAAATAAGCTAATAAAATGTTAGCTTGCAAACAAAATCACAAGTATTAATATTCTCGGTTGGAATATGAATAGTTGGCATTATTATAATACAAAAATTAATGCACCTAAACAGCACAGTTTACCTGCTGCTTCTGTTCAATAATCATTTTACTGACAGTAAAACTGTTTTAGATATATCAAAATTGATTTGTAAATTGATTCATTAATCAATGAGCATCATTAGCATTACTTTTTTGGGAGCAGGGGTTGTTTTTGTTAGCAGAGGTTTAATATGTAGTCCTGCTGGCCTTCAACCCAAGATCCTTCTGCCTCAGCAAGCCCAAATGCTGAGATTACAGGTCTGGCCCATTAGAAATAGCTTAACATTTCTTATAAAAATACTAATAATGAAGATGAGTCACATTCCACATTAGATGTTCTCAATTTCCAAAATACTTGATTGGAAAATGCATGAGATAAATGTCAAAAGAACTTACCACTTGTATTAAAAGCCATACAGCACACTGGCTTCTCATGGGCAGGGAAGTGGGCCACAATGCCATTGCTGTCAGAGTCTTCGCTCACAAGCACCTTAAGTAAAGGAAAAAAGGAGGTTAGTATTTTCTCACCAATAGCATGAAAACTACACCAGCTACTGCTCAATTCTTCTCAACCTAAAACATGTTTTGACCATATTGGAAGGTTATTATAACTGTACTAACTGGAAGTAGGGTTGTGCTCAAAGTGATAGAGCCACTAGCCATGAGCAAAAGAGCTCAGGGACAGCACCTAGGTCTTGAGTTCAAGCCCCACAATCACCCTATCCCACCCCACCCCCCAAAATTCACATTTCTACACAGGCATCTGTTGCTGACTTACACCTATAATCTTAGCTACTCAAGAGATCTGGGATCAGAAAATAATGATTTGTAGCCAGCCCAGGCAGGAAAGTCTATGAGACTCTTATCTCTAATTAACCACGAAAAGCTAGATGTGGTTCAAGTGGTAGAGTACCAACTTAAGTGAAAAAGCTAAGGAAGAGTACCCTGGCCTGAGTTGAAGGTCACTACCAGCACCAAACACAAAACACAAAAAAGTCCTATTTCTTTCATATATAGTAACCCTACACCCTATTTATATCAATTAGCATTGAGTACTTCAATTTGATGACAGGAATAAAGTCAGAAGGCACCAGATAAAAAGAATGTTTCAGTTTATAGCAAAACCTCAAAATATTACATAGTTTCTTTGTTTCTTCTATTTATAAGACCCATAAATTGAAATATCCAGATACTTAGAGAAGGCCTCTATTGCATCATCATATTGGTTAAAACATGCTCAACACTTATCTAAGCAGAATGAGCCTCTTTTATTAACAACTTGACAATATTAAACAACAGAAAGCATTTAATTGGTACAAGGCAGATGAGCCTTCATCATAAGAACAAAACACTTCAGGAATCATTAAAATAACATTTGTTCACATGTCAAGATAAAGCTCTGGATTTTGGTATCATTCTGGGGTATTTTATTTCTATCACAGATTTTGCCACATTGCTACATTCAATTGCATAAATGTGTAAAAGGCAAATCAAAGCACTTAACTTAGTCAAGAAATGCTTTTAAATAAAACATGAAAGTAACAGATGAAAATGGACACAAAGTCAATTAAATCCATTCCTCTTTAATGCAGTTACCACACAATGATCCCATCACCATAAAATCAAAGCAACCAATACAGCAACTCAAAGATTGGGCAAACCAGATGTAACATAGAAGCACAATCCACAATTAACATGAAAATACCTTTATAGCAGTCTAGTGGATTTAAATAGCAAAGATAGTGTAATGTTATCTGTAGCTTCTGAGATACATATGAAAAATGAAAATATTTCAGCTATGATTAAACACAAATGGAATAGGGTAAACCTGATAAATTTACTATGACTACTATAGCCTTTAATATAATCTTTGCCTGCAGTCCAATTGAATGATTTACTGCAGAAAAGATGCCCAAACAAAAAACAAAAAAATAACAACAAAAACAGATTCAGAAAAAAAGACAAAAAGTATTTGCAATGCTTAAATTTTTTGGCTTTGATAGGACAATTCTTTTAGATATACTGAAAGAAATCCACTTCAAATCATGGCATAGGTGCGATATTATGGGTCCCAGAAAAAAACAGAACTTCAATTGTTTTTTGTCACTTATTTTTGCAGGGGAAATACTGGAATTCTGAACTCATGACCACCACTTGTTAGGCAAGAGCCTAACCTAGCTGTTTTTGCTTCATTTTTCAGATATGGTCTTTCTCTCTAGGCCAGCTTCAGAATATGATCTTAGAACCCATATTTCCCACATAGCTAAGATAACAGGCATCAAGAAAAGATTCTTCATGTTGAGTATTTGAAAAATTTGCCTTTTAACATAGAATTTCAAATGTTACCTTTCTATATATCACAAATATACAAATGTGTCGCAACTTCACACCTATAATCTGTGTCTATAAAAGAGAGCAAACATTCCTTTGTTTCCACAGATTCTTGGTCATATTATGCTTCCTTGAGCTCAAGGAATCCACGTGTGTCAGACCCCTGAGTAGCAATTGGGAATTACAAACTCAATAAACTGGCTTCTTTCTTTCCTCCTTTTCTTCCTCCTTCCCTAACTTCCCTTTCCCATTATTTTTTTTTTTTGGGGGGGGGGGGGGGGTTCTACTCGTAGGGCCAGAACTCTGGGCCTGGGCACTGTCCCTCAGCTCTTCAGCTCAAGGCTAGCGCTCTACCACTTGAGCCACAGCGCCACTTCTGGCTTTTTTTCTTTTTGCTTATGTGGTGCTGAGGAACTGAACCCAGAGCCTCATGCGTTCAAGGCAAGCCATCTACCACTGAGCCACCTTCCCAGCCCCTTTCCCACTATTTCCTGATGTTGGGTATCAAACCTAGGCTACCTGTGCTATCACCACTGAGCCACATCTCAGACCAAGATTTCATTATTTTTCTGCCATTATTTTAGGAATTTTATTTTTTGTTTGGGCTTTTTTTTTTTTTTTTTTTTGGGGGGGGGGGGGGGGGTCTGGTCGTTGGGCCTGAACTCTGGGCCTGGGCACTGTCCCTCAGCTCTTCAGCTCAAGACTAGCGCTCTACCACTTGAGCCACAGCACCACTTCCCGCTTTTTTGTTTTTGCTTATGTGGTGCTGAGGAATCGAACCCAGGGCCTCCTGCATGCAAGGCAAGCACTCTACCACTGAGCCACCTTCCCAGCCCTGGGCTTTTTTTTTTTTTTTTTTATATGCTAGGGTTTTCACTTGGAATCTTGAGTTTGCTAGGTGGGTACTATACCACTTAAAGTATTTTAGCCCAAAAATTGAATTCCTTTAGTTTTTGGTTTTTTTTTTTTTTTTTTGGGCGGGGGGGTTGTTTTGTTTTTTGCTAGTCTTGAGGCCTGAACTCTGGGCCTGGGACAGCCCTCAGCTCTTCAGCTCAAGGCTAGTGATCTACCACTTGAGCCACAGCACCACTTCTGGCTTTTTCTGCTTATGTGTTGCTGAGGAATGGAACCCAGGGCCTCATGCAGGCAAGGCAAGCACTCTACCACTGAGTTACCTTCCCAGCCCTCCTTCAGTTTTTAATTCATAAAAAGGAAATGAAAATTGTGAAGAGAAAAATTAAGGCATAATGTAACATAATATAACATAATCCCGAATGTTGAATTTTCAGGTCCCTATATTTACTATAAGTATACAAGTTGCACCTCAATTTAATTAAAAAAATATTCAAATGACATTTTCTACTTTCATTTGACCACAAATCTGTCAACAAATGTTAGATCTTCAACACATTTATGGTCCTAGACAATGTTGAGGAGAGCTGTTATTACCTAATAAATGTGGGTGGCCTTGTAGATGAATTAACATTCGTAAAGCAAAATGGAAAAATTTTATAACACTAAAAATAACAAAGGTTTATATATTTAATTGCACTTTTAAAAGAGAACATCTGTATGTGTGTATCTGCATCAGGTAACACACACACACGCACATATACAGAGAGAAAAAGGCATTATAGTCCACTGAAAATTTGCTAGCACTTCATTAAACAAAAACAATTCAAGCCTATAATGTATTTGGTTAACCACAAAGTTATGATGGAAGAGGAAGAAAATTGTATTGTTACTTACATTTTAAATAAAATATATCATCCATATTTAATAACCCAGAATTTCAAAGATTTTTTGTTTTAATTGTGGCAAACTCCACTTTTGCTTTAAGTGCCATTTGATCTTACTACAGGAAACAACATATGAATAGCTGCCAAATGTAATATTTCATCAAGATGTGGGCCCATATATAGTGGGAACAGCCTCTCTTAAAAGAACATGCAATATTAAAGGTTAATACTTTAAAGACTCACATACTTTTTAGGCATTTTGTCTGAAAACAGATATGAATTTTATGTGAAAATACATTTCATAAACCTTCTACTATCCTATTCTAGAAATTGATTTGAGATGAAGTCAGTTATAAAAATGATTATAAACTATTAAGACAAAAACACACATTTCAGAAATATGTTTGGAAAGGGAAAACTATGATACAAAAGAAAATAAAGTTTGAGTGCACAGGGAAGGGAGAAATGGGGACTTCTTGCCAGAACTATCTTATCAATAAGATGAAGAAGGACAAAATACTTCCTATGTTTATAATTACCCCTTCAAAGTGTTTCTGAACCTACATTTAAAAACTAACTGCTGCCCAGCACCAATGGCTGATGCCTATAATCCTAGCTATTCAGTAGGCTGAGATCTGAATATCGCAGTTCAAAGTCAGCCTGGTCAGAAAAGTCCCTATGAGAAACCAATATACAAGGACATGTGCACCTCCATGTTTATTGCAGCACTGTTCACAATAGCTAGGATATGGAAACAACCCAGATGCCCCACCACAGATGAATGGATCCAAAAATTGTGGTATCTATACAAAATGGAATATAATGCAGCCATTAGAAATGACAAAATAATGGCATTTGCAGGGAAATGGATGGAGCTAGAAAGAATCATGTTGAGCGAGGTAAGCCAAGAGCAAAGAGACAAACGGTACATGGTCTCCCTGATAAGTGGATGCTAAATCCAAAATGTTAGGTGATACGACAAAATTAACAGGACTTAAGAAACAAAGAACTCCCACTCATCTGGTCAAACCACTACTAAATATCCCCATGCTGCTGATCACATGTATGGTGTATATGTGCACACCATTATATGTTATAGACCGTGATAGACAATTTACTCCAGGAAAGTAAGAATGAACTTGTGACTTTAAATGAGCATCATTATTCCACAATATTGTGAAATTTGGTAAATTATGTAATCACGTAATCACAATTTAAAAAAAAAAAAAAAAGAACCTCGGGGAAGGTAGGGAGGGAAAGATTGGTAGGGGGAAAACAATGGAGGGGGTAACAAAGCTCAATAGGAAGTGTACTCATAACCTCACTCATGTGACTGTAACCCTCTGTATAGTAGCTTTACAATAAAAAAAAAAAAAAAAAACATTAAAAAAAATAAGAAAAGCCTTTATTTTCTGAGAAGGAAACTACTGAATATAAAAAAAAACTATACTTATAAAGTTAATTATGGATCATCTAAAAAGCATGTACACATTGCCTTACTCATGTAACTGTAAGCCCTTTGTACAACATCTTTACAATAAAATAAAATTTAAAAATGGAAAAAAAAAAGTCCCTGCGAGACGCTTACCTCCAATGAACTACCTGAAAACCATAAGTGCCACTGTGGCTCAAGTGACAGAACGCTTGAGTTGAGGGCTGGGAAGGTGGCTCAGTGGAAGAGTGCTTGCCTTGCATGTATGAGGCCCTGGGTTCGATTCCCCAGCACCACATAAGCAAAAAGAAAAAAGCCAGAAGTGGTGCTGTGGCTCAAGTGGTAGAGCGCTGGCCTTGAGCTGAAGAGCTGAGGGACAGTGCCCAGGCCCAGAGTTCAGGCCCCACAACCAAACCCCCTCCCCACCTCCCCAAAAAAAAAGAACGTTAGAGAGGAGCACAAAGAGGCTCAGGGACAACCCCAGGACCTGAGTTCAAGCCCCACAACTGAATAAATACAGACAGACAGACATACTACTGCTGAGAACCAGTGGCTAAAGTCTATAATACTAGCTACTCAGGAGGCTAAAATCTGAGGATTCAAGTTTGAAGGGAGACCAGGCAGAAAAAGTCTGTGAGACTAACTACCAATGGAGCCAGAAGTGAGGCTGTGGCTCTAGTGGTAGAGGGAGTCTGGAGCACAAAGTTCAGGGACAACACCCAGGCCCTAAGTTCAAGCCCCATGGCTGGCACACTGGCGTTTGCGCACACACGTGTGTACGTACACACACACACTCACACACACACATTATCTGAAGAAACAGGATTTTAAAACAAGCTATTTCTATTTTCATGTTATTTTAAATGTTCATGTATTATTTTTTATATTTTATAAGAAATATGCTGGACACCAGTGGCTCATGCCCTAATCCTATCTCTTCAGGAGACTGAGATCAAGATTTGAAGCAGTCCAGGTAGACAAATTTTTGAATCTCCAATTAACCAGAAAAACATGACTAGAGATAGTGACAGAAACTAGTTGTGAGCAAAAAGGGGCGCCACTATGTAAAGCCTGAGTTCAAGCACCAGTATCAGAAGGAAAAAAATAAAAACAGGCTTCTCCTAATATCACCATAAATTAAAATTAAAAACAAAACAATAAAATAATAACAGGCTTGTTACTTTCATTTTCAAAATAAGACCTGAAATATTCACAGTTTCTAAAATTCTAAACTATTAATCTCCTTAAGTCTCATCTATTCTTGATCTTATCACAATCTACAAGTAGTACAATCTTCATGCACCAAAGTTCTTACCTGGCCTTCTCTAACGGTTTCAGTGTCAATAACTGTAATGATGCCCGGAACCAAAGGACTCCGTCTTGAGTTACTGTGGATGGTAACATCATCTTCTGTCACACCTGAGGGCAGTGTGCCTGTCAGCTGAGTCACCACTTTCCCAACCATTGTCAGGCCACTTTTCAATGTCTATACAATGCAAGGTAAAAAGAACAATTTTAAATAAACACATGTATTTTCAAATATTTCATAATGTATAGAAACATGCATGCTAATTCATTTTTAAATTGCTTATTTTCTTTCAATACTATATAACAACAAATTGTCCTGAATAACAGGTCTAACTTTCAAAATGATCTTGAAGTTTGGTTAATAAATCAGTACTTGTTCAGGGGAATGTAACTTAAAAAACACCAAAGTCAGCATTGTATAAATACACCCATAATTAAGTTATCATGATTATAGTTAAAAAGCTCTGTATCATATAAGTGTAAAATTATACTTTTATTAAAGTATATAACATATTCACTCACATTAATTTGTGTACCTTCAAAATATATAATCTGAATGAAAATTATTTAGTAATATGGGATTTTTTTAAAAAATATATGGAATATGGTGTCTATCTTCTAAAGTATAATATAGAGACATTTTTAAAATACCTATGAGGCAAATGACAACAATTCTAAAATAAATCCATTGTTTTCTGTTATAAAATGCTTTTCACAGTCGTTCAAATTGCTAGAGGAAATACCACATAACTAGCTAAAAGGATTCTCTTCAATCTAGTGAAAGAAATGACTTCATGCAGCTGGAAAGGTAGCTCAGAAAAATAGTGCTTGCCTTGCATGCATAAGGCCATGGGTTACATTCCTCAGCACTACATAAGAAGAAAAAGTCAGAAGTGGTGCTGCGGCTCAAGTGTTAGAGCCCTAGCCTTGGGCTGAAGAGCTGAAAGACAGTGCCCAGGCCCAGAATTCAGACCCATGACCAACCAAAAAAAAAAAAAACAGAAAGAAAGAAATGACTTCATGTAGTATGCTTCTAACATACTATTTCAATTAGAGATGAGGATGTTTCATGGTTACATTTAATTCTAGTCATTCAAAGCATATAAAGGTAATTCATAACTACTACATATATCACTATATTTACCTGACAGTGGAGATTTGTGTAAATGAAAATGTTTTTAAAGCAATAGGATGATTTTGCATTAAAAGTAAGTGAGCTAAAACAAATAGAATGCTATGTAAATGAAGATGAATCTTAGCCAAAATTAAATAGACATCTTCAAGTTTTCATATTAAGTAACATATACACATTTTCCCAATTCTCATGTTGTAAGGAATATTTGAATTAAAATATTTCAAATTAATATTCAACAAGGTGACTTCTAAAATAATTATGAGGAAAATATTCTCACCTATATTCTGCATATAATATAGCTTACTTGTTCAGTTATTTCAAATTTAACATATAAATGACACACAAACCACTATGTTTAGGAATACATAAATATGATATTTTCAACAACTGCATTAAAATTATATAAAAGGGAAAAACGTTTCTAATGACATTTTTCATTATAAACTAACAATGTCAATCATGATATTCAGTATACATTATGTAGAAAATGAACTTTATTTGGAATGGGAGGGAGAAACATGGGGAAAGAAAAGAAGGGGGTGCCAATGTCCAAATTACAGAAATGTATCCATTACATGACTTATGAAATGGTAACCCTTCTGTATAATGACCTCTATAGAATTGCTCATTGATACAGAAAAATGAAGCTTGAAAAGTTAAGTAAAATGACAGCTTAAACAGCTAACCAATGACTAACTAGAATTCAAATATAGGACTGTCTCCACAACTTGGTTCTTAACCACTACCCAATCATATCTAGCCTCATAATCTATCACTGGTACTATCTGTGATCTCACAGTTCATGAGTACAAAGCTACTGGCTGAATTCAAGCAAAATGATATAATTCACAGCAGGCTGAAACCAAGACAAAAACCACAAATCAATTGTAAATGTTTTGTTTAGTGCTAAGAACTCAAATTGCAGTGATTATAAAACACATTAGTGTTCCTCAATTAGCAGCCAAACATTTGTTTCAATAATTCACAAGAAATGACTTACACAAAGTCTGTAAGAGTGTTGTCACGTAAACCTCTGAAGGACCAGGAGAATCAGGCGCCAGTGTATTGATGTCAAGAGCTGGCCAGGAAGCCTGATTAACCTCTGAGATACCTCAGCTGACATACTAACTTCACTCCATTAATGTTAATGGAATTACTCCCACTTAGAAGTAGAAGTAGATATGCCTTTATCAAAGGAATGCCTTTTAGTTTTAAAGTCTTCACTTGTATATACTCTACAATGCCCTGAGCCTTTTGGTTAATCAATTATACCACTAAATAAGAATAAAACTAAAAACTGAAACACATACAAAAAGGAAAATATTGTAGTAGAGCAAACTACAAGGTAACAGTAAAGGTTCACATAAGGAGAGAAAAACAGTTTATTTCATAGAAGATCATTTTGAATGGTGATTTCTTAACATTTCTTAGGAAAAACTATGACTATTGATAGATTCATCTTACTGGTGAACAAGAATCTGAGATTAAATCTTAATATTCACCAAATCTGCAATTAGTGTATTAAAAAGATAGAACAATTTGCCTTGACAAATTAACTACTAGCTATGAGAGAAGGGGAGGCAAGGGTGTGGAAAGTTTTCCTGCATTACTAGAGATCTTTGCTTTCTGAATAAATTTATTTCCTATTGGAATCACGCACAACTATGAGCACTTTTATGTCATAATTTAACATTTCTCACATCATTGTTTTTGGATATCTAACTTGCATCACCATAATTTGTCTTTCTATTTGATTTTGGTAGCTACCACAGTATGTCCATACCTGCCAACTTCCTCAAATCTACACTAAAAAATGAAGGAGGATAAGCACAGATTGGAGAATATTCCATCAAATGGAGATGAAAAAGTACAGTGAGCATCCTCACAATCTAAATCTATACTTAAAAATTCAATACATTCCTGATTAATCTTTACAAAAGTATTTAAAGAACAAAACTATAGCTCCAGGTTATTATAACAAGTGTTTTAAAATCTATTATGAGCCATAATTCAAATGAACTTGCTGTATGTTCTGTCACTACTCATCTTTAACCTTTCTGGTACAGGATCAGTTAGTTGTACTCCCAAAAGATTAGCCCTAATGGTGGTGCTCTCTCAAAACTGTTAGCTATCATTAAGAAATTATCAAGTAAGTGGTGCTGTGGCTCAAGTGGTACAGTGCTAGTCTTGAGTTGAAGAGCTGAAGGACAGCATTCAAACCCAAAGTTCAAACCCCATGACCGACAAAAACAAAAAACAAGAAATTATCAAGTAGCAAGAAATACCAAAGGCATTTTTATTAGAACTGACCACACTAGGGCTAAAACACATTAAAATAAACTTAAAAATATAAAACAAGACTTAACAAATATACCAAATATACAAATATACAAAAATTATATTTTTCCATTCACTTCATACATTCTTTCCAAGGACAGTCATAATGAGAAAACTCTAAAAGTATGCAGATTAAATATTCTTTGGAAATTAAAAAAAATCCAAAAAAGATGTTAACTTTGAGGTTTCCAGTGTATAAGCATTAAATATATTTATATTCACAATTGCATAAGATAAAAAAATTAAAAATAGTGCTGGCATATAGGTATTTATAATCGTAGATACTAGATGATCATATTTCAAGGCTAGCCTGAAGACCACCCCATTTTCCCTCTAAACAGAAAGCTGGGCATGAACCCAACCCCGTAACTCCAGGTATGCTAAAAGCCTTAGTACAGGAATCAAAGTCCCAGATGGCCCCAGGCAAGAAAATTATGAGGAACCCATCCAAATATAACTAAAGAAATGGAGATGTGGCTCAAGTGGTAAAGCACCTGTTTAACAAGGCCAACGTCAAATCTTAACACCTCTAAATAAATTAACAATTAAAACTTTAATCCTTTCATGAAAGAAAGTAGGTTAAAAAAAAAAAAACTCAGAGGAAGATATAAGAAAAATAGCAACTTTTCTCTCAAGAAAACGATTTAACAATGAAATAAATGTTATTTATTTTAACATAGGTGTTTATTGTTGTTGTTGTTGTTTGTCAGTCATGGGGCTTGAACTCTGGGCCTGGGCGCTGTCCCTCAGCTCTTCAGCTCAAGGCTAGCACTCTACCACTTGAGCCACAGTGCCACTTCCGGCTTTTTTCTTTTTACTTATGTGGTGCTGAGTAATCGAACCCAGGGCCTCTGGCATGCAAGGAAAGCACTCTTCCACTGTGCCACCTTCCCAGCTGATACATATATACTTTATTATTTTTATTAATGATTTTTAGGGGGGAGGATTACTGTTTCATAAGTTAGTGTTAATAGTCCTATGTTGTAGAATCATTCCTTATTGAATTTCCTATGTATTATTTAATTTGTATGCTAATTAAAATTTTATACAGTAAGCCTATACTCACAAATAAGAACTAATTCATGCCTGATTTTTCGTAATTTTTTTTTTAACTTTTTGCCAGTTGTAAGGCTTAAACTCTGTTCCTGAATGCTGTCCCTGAACTCCTCTTGCTCAAGGCTAGCACTACCACTTGATCCATAATGCTACTTGTGACTTTTTCTGTGATTAATTGGAGATAAAGAGTCGCACAGACTTTCCTGCCCAAGCTGGCTTCAAACAATTATCCTAAGATTTGAGTAGCTAGGATTACAGCCATGAGCCACTGGTCTTGGCTTATTTTTCATAATTTCTTATTAAGTTTTATAACATAGTAATTTGCCATCAAAAAACAACATTAGATATTTTAGGCTCTTCTTGCTCTCTGAAGGATTATTCCATTGTCATTGCATCTGGGACTACAATTGTGAACCACTGCCATGCTTGGCTCATCACTGTTCATTCTTAAATTCTGAATAGAATTCTCTAGAAAGATTGCCATGGCTAAAGATACCTTTGCAAGATTTATTTTAAAGTAAACTTTACATCCCTTGAAACAGAAAAAAATATACTAGCTATACATAGTGAATTTTCACACTAACTGGAGTATAACATATAATAGTAGAGAAATTATTCTAAAAGAAATTAAAAGTTATTTTCATGTAGTTGCCATAAAAAAAATAAAGAATTTTATTCCCCCAAAGGCCAATCTAGTATAATATCTAACAGCTTACCAAGAGAAATTACCACTTGGAGGGAAAAAAAATCATTCAAACTTTCTAATCTTTTCTATATTAAAATAAAACACTATGGAAGTAAAATGAAGTGATATTCTATGTCTAATAGCAATCGGAACAAAATAATTTACCAATAATTCCAAGGAAATTTCAAAGTATTCATGTTCTTAGACCTGATTCCAATGTAAAGAGGTATTATGTGGACATTTTAAAAAAATCTTTTTGTCCGCCAGACACCAATGGCTCACACCTGTAATCCTAGGTACCCAGGAGGCTGAGATCTGAGGATCATGGTTCAAAGCCAGCCTGGGCAGGAAAGTCAGTAAGATTCTAATCTCCAATAAACCACCAAAAAACCAGAAATGGCACTGTGGCTCTAATGGTAGAGCACTCACCTTGTGCTCCCGGGACCTGAGTTCAAGCCTCAGGATTGACAAAAATAAAAATAAAACTCTAAAGGAGTCCTAACTTTCTCTTTAGGGTGATATAAATATTCTAAAAACAATTTTGATGAGCTATACAACTCTATAAATATGCTCTAAGTCACATATAATTATAAAAGCAGAAGAACAAAATTTTGGCAACAGAAATTCAGTTAAGCTGAGGAGCTCGGGGACAGAGCCCAGGCCCTGAGTTCAAGACCCGCAAACCCCCCCAAAAAAAATCTTTTTGTATTTAATGATATTTCAGTGAGGTATAATTACAACATAGAGGACAGATCCAACATAAAATTGGATTGAAAGTGTTCATTAAAAAATTAAGACATACAAGGCATTTACATACTGGGAAGTGTAATATCATTATTCCAATGGTAACCAGACCTACTGAAAAACTGGCTTAAGATGTTACTACAACATAATTTCTCACAGTATAAATAAGAAGGATTCAAGATATGCCTTAAAATTACCATCCTGAGGGCTGGGAAGATGGCTCAGTGGTAGAGCACTTGCCTTGCATGCCTGAGGCCCTGGGTTCAATTCCTCAGCAAAAAGAAAAAAGCCGGAAGTGGCGCTGTGGCTCAAGTGGTAGAGCGCTAGCCTTGAGCTGAAGAGCTGAGGGACAGCGCCCAGGCCCAGAGTTCAGGCCCCACAACCGGACCCAAAAAAAAAAAAAAAAAAAAAAAATTACCATCCTGAGGTGTGCCAAAGTGAGTTCAGATTTGTTGTTTTCAAATTATACTAAACTTAGCCTTGTCCCAGCAAGCCCATAGCAGAACAGTTATAAAAAGGAGATATCTTTTCTTTTACATAAGAATGACATAGATAACAACAAAAAAAGCTGAATAAGTTATCTTCCACTCAATAAGTGAACTTTCTTCAAAATTATAACAAGGAGCTATCCTGATACAAGCATGTGAGAAAAGTGTAAAAGGAGTCTAACACAGGAGACATGGGTCTCGTTACATCATACAGAAAACCAGAATAACACTGAGGATTCTTCCTAATTACTGTCTTAGACAATTCTTTTTGAAATAACCATCATTACTTCTGCGTAAACAATGGAGAAAATCTGGTATTCTTTATAAAGATGTCTGAATTATAAATATATACTGCTACAGGCAAAAAACTTATTCATTATTTCCCTTTTTAGCAAAATATAGTAATGTTTCTCTCATCAGACCAAGGGACACATTCTAAAGCACATCATGTAAGCATTTGTGATCAGTCTGGAAGTATTTTTGTATTTGTTTAACATAAAACAGTGTGACCTTTGATTCCCTCCCTGTGGTTTACTTTAAACTGTTGTTCTCTTCTGAATAGTTGTGCTTTTTATTACATGCTGTCATGTAGATTCACTCTGTCATCCCTATTATTAGAATTGTTTTGTTGTATACTTCACAATTCAAAAGGATAGTGGTTATAAGAATACCTTATAATCAGCATAAAGTTTACCAGGCATCATCAAAATTAACCCTCACACACACAAAAAAAAGAAACACGTGACAAACATGAAGGACTAGTCCCTTGATATGAAAGAATCTATGAATGTGCCAGGGGATTAACTTAAGTCTCCGTGAGGAATTTTTGATGTCACAAAGACTCAGTAATGTTCAAAGATGCTCAGGGATCCCAGTGTAGGTAAAATTATGGAAATAACAGAAAAAGAAAATACTTACCAGGCTTTAAACCACTTAACATACTTTTTTATTTTACATGGGTAAGTAGGAATCCTACAATCATTAAAGTAGAAAATTGTTAACCTTGAACTATTAAATTACAATTCACTAACTCACAGCACAATATTCTACTTTAAATCTTATGTTTATTTCACAATTATGAATGAAAATGTAAGAAAACATGTAACACAATTCAGGGGAGATCCTGGTAGTGACTTTGCCTAATCACATCTCCCCAGCAGCACTGCGGTACTCACTTTGGCAGCACTAATGACTGTGGCCGTGTAAGACTGAATGTTGTCTCCACAGGCTCCACCACGAGACTGATGACACCGAATCAACTGAGGTTGAAGAGAAAACCAGAGTCATTTTCTATTAAACTGTTTTAACTCTAGTATTACACAGCACTTACTCATGGTACATAATAATGATGGTGAGTGGGAATGCCTGCATGAGACTATTTCAGACAAAACAACCAAAAGCCAAACTGAGACATTTTTACTCCTTTTTATAATCCACTGGTGCCACTCAGGCAGTTCCATGCTAAACCAGAGTTTTAATTAGTAGATGAATGGTCTTTAAGAATTGATAAACTCAAAAAAAAAAAAAGAATTGATAAACTCTGAAACAAGAGGATTTGGGGTCTGGCAGCCTTTATACAAATATAAAAACATAATTAACACATAACTTCTTAAAATTAAGTATTTGACATGTTGGAAAATTGGATGTTTTCTACTCTTAATTCCTCTACAAAGAATATAAAACAAAAACCAGTCAAAAGGTTTTGCAATATTTGCATTTTTCAACTGTATCACAATAAAAATGGCACAAATTATGCATAAAGCAATACATGCACTAGAGAGCTAACTACTATTACCATCAGAAAGTAAAAGAAATACCCTTATTTATGCCTGACAATAACAACTAAACTTGCCAACTGTTAATGTGAATAACTATTTTGATATGCACAATTTTCACATTCCAAGCAATAAATCAGGATTGAGTTCTTCAATGGACCTTCACTCGCCATACTTAGCAACAACGAAGAATTATTACCAATATCCGTATGTTTAAACTGCTTTAAAATTGAGACTAAGAAATAATAGAGATTGGGTAAGTTTGAGCAAACTACATCATGTGCAAGCTCTAAATATTATAATAAATTAATGCTAATATAAAATTTTTTTAAATAAAATGACAGACTATGTTGTAGCATGAGTTTTTTTTTTTGTTTTTTTGTTTTTTTTGGTCCGGTCGTGGGGCCTGAACTCTGGGCCTGGCCACTGTCCCTCAGCTCTTCAGCTCAAGGCTAGCACTCTACCACTTGAGCCACAGTACCACTTCCGGTTTTTTCCTTTTTTGCTTATGAGGTGCTGAGGAATTGAACCCAGGGCCTCGAGCATGCAAGGCAAGCGCTCTACCACTGAGCCACCTTCCCAGCTGGCATGAGTTTTTTAAAAACAGTGCAAATGCCATAAAAATCTACACCTAAAAGTACTTCATATAACCTAAAACTATGTCCTTTTTGTGAAGACATATAATAGGGATGACAAGTTATCTTTTCATGCTTTTTCCTAAGGTGCTAGGAATTGTAGCCAGGACCCTGTGCATTCTACCACAGAACTACATTCCCAGCTGTAATCTTTTTATTAATTCAAATTTCTTCATTACTCACATTGTTCCTCAAAGCAATATTAAAATGATAAAAAGAAACACATTTAAAAATCTACAATGAAGCTGCTTCTACATAATTTCTACCATGAACACTGAACAGACGTCATTTTTAGGTGACTGTTCAGTATCTGTAGCTGCACATGCAATAAAATGTAGATTTAGAAAGTGATTATCTTTGCTAATAAAAAAATCTGTCAAGACTGGTGCTGGTGGCTCCCACCCATAATCCTAGCTACTTAGGAACCTGAGATCTGAGGATCTCAGTTCAAAGCTAGCCTGGGCAGGAAAGTCCTGAGACTCTTATCTCCAATAAACCATGGTAAAACAGGATGTGGCATTGTGGCTTAAGTGGTACAGCACTCCCCTTGAGCTGAAGAACTCAGGGACAAGGCCCAGGCCCAGAGTTCAAGCCCCCAACTTCCAAAAATAAAAATAAAATAAAGAATCTTGTCCCTCCTTCATTCATCCACAAATACACAATTAAGAGATTATAAAGATTATCCCTCTGCTGCCTCCTGCTGCACAAACAAAGGAAAGAACACTCTGCAAAGGCTATCACCTATTTCCCCCCACAGGCACAAAGAACATTCAAGGACAAACAAGTAAGCAACACTCTTACCTTTTCAATTTGACTACAAATGAGCCAGAATTTGTACATGACAATTTGGTCTGACACAGAGACACACCCCAAAATTACATCTGTTATCTTTGCTCCACAAAATTAAAGGTGAGAAGAAATTCTCCAATGCAATACTCTACATCAAATGGACTAATTTCCAGGGAATATTGTTAAGCAAAGAAAGCAATGTAATCTATTATGGAAGGGAAACACATAACATGTAATATATGTACATAAAAATAAAACAAAATCATAAAGAAATATAACCAACGATATATCAAATAAAAACTTGAAGGAAGAAAGGGAGGGTTTTTTTTTTTATGAAGTTATCTTATCAAACTAAAAATAAAACTCATTCAAAGCCAGCATCAAAAGCTCATGTCTGCAACTTTAACTACTCCACACACTGAGATCAAGAAGATTCTTCTAGGAACAGAATAGGCACAAAGTTTATGAAACTGGACGATGAGATAGGGAGGAGGCAGAGAGAGGGAAGGAACAAGTGAATTTGGGAGGGAGAAAAGGAGAAAGAAGAGAGAGAAGGTGAGGAATAAAAGAGGGAGAGAGAGAGGCACAGAGGAGATAAAAAAGCACTTGACCTGAGGAATGGCAGATTAAAGATGAATGGTAAAGTGTTTTATCAAAAGTAAAGTGACAAAATTGAAGTATCTAGGGATGTGTGCAAGTCACTGTGAAATAGTTCAGAAGAAGCAGCTTTGTGCTTTTTCTATCAAAATTATTCTTCCAAATTTTCCAAGTTAAAAGTATACTTAAAAATATGAGAAACTGGTACAGAAAGGTAACAATCAAATTAAAAACCCCACTGTACAACTAATGTAAGCTAATGACAGAGAAACTGAAAAGTGAATCTCATCAAGATACATGGCTTCCTGCTTACAATTTTACAAAGAGTATTTTCAAGTGGAAATGTAGTTCAGTGGTAGTACTTATCAAACATGTGCAAGTCACCTAGAACCACCAAAAAAAAGAGAGCACTATTAAGAAACTCATTCTAAAATATAACTCACAATTGTTAATTCTATGCTTCTCCCAAAAAAATTTAAAAGGATAAGAAACTGCCAATATAGACTAGCTCATTTAGAAATTTTTTTGTTTTGTTTTGTTTTTGGGGGTCCAGTCGTGGGGCCTGAACTCTGGGCCTGGGCACTGTCCCTCAGCTCTTCAAGCTCAAGGCTAGCGCTCTACCACTTGAGATACAGCACCACTTCTGGCTTTTTTCTTTTTGCTTATACGGTGCTGAGGAATTGAACCCAGGGCCTCAGGCATGCAAGGCAAGCGCTCTACCACTGAGCCACCTTCCCAGCCCCATTTAGAAATTTTTGTAAGTGCCAATTAATATAACTACTGTCCTGTTTGAAAAGAGTACTTTGAAAAAAGCAATTTTTATTATATATGTGGTAAAATTAAGAGTAGAAACTAAATGAAACATAAATAGAGTATTCAGCTAAATGCAAAATATCTTAATATTCACCAACAGACTTTTGGATAAGGAATTAAAGAATTTAACTAAAAAATTATTTTCATTAGAAGTTGATTTTTGCACATTCCACAGGCTACTGACTTACTAGTTCTGTGGCTTTGCTAAATACTTCCTTTACTTACCACATCTAGATCTTGTCAAAAACTATTTAATACTATTCAATAATACTCCCAAGATACATTAATTATGCCACCAACAAAAATACTAATCTTTATAAAATCTGCAATTTTTTTTGTATTTCATTCTAGCTTCATACATAGAGTGCTGAAAGACATAAGCACAACTCATATTGATGGTTAACACTATATAATACATAAAAGGTGTAAGTGTATAAATGTCTTCCTTTACTTTGAAGACTTCAGTAAATCAACTTGATAGCTAAAAAAAAGACCACATCTGAACTAATGTGATTTAATTATTCACATAAATGACAGTACAAGAAGCAGCAGTAAGATGAACATTCAATATGGGTTACTGCCACATATGCTATGGAGGAACCTAAAAACTTGCTTCATTCCACATAACACAATCATGCATCGTGGCTTACCTTGTTTTCAGCATAAGCAAGCCAGCGGCTCCCAAGAGCAATAGGATTCATGTTTGGACCAGGACAAGGATAACAACCTAAAAATTTTAAACAAAAATATTCAGAAATTTCCTAAATAGTTGATGCTATGTAGCTTGATGCCACAAAAATAGGAAAATTAAATGCTTGTATTTTTCCAAGTCTCACAAAATTCCCTGAACTGCAGTTTCAATAGTTGAATGAGGTACATTTTTGTTCATTCTGATTTTAAATCTTCTCTAGGAATCACTTATTCCAATAATTGGGCATATCTCAACAAGAAAATGAAGATAAATGACTTTAAATTCCTAAGTCTGAAGATCATAAATAAAAGAAGGAGAGAGGAGAAAGAAAGCCTATGGTATGTTCTGAAAGTGAATGGCAAAAGACATACCTATACAAGGGCAAAAGATTACACCTTTACATTAACAAATAGACATAAAAGAATGGACGCTGCAATAATGTGGGAAGGAAAAGAGCATATACTAAGATGTAAGCCAGTGAGGAAAAGGAACTGGCCAAGGACTCCTCAACAGACAGCTTTTGGGACCATTGATATATTTATAGTAACTACTGGCTTCATTCTTCTAGCTTCCAATGTCAACCAATAACAACAGTAGAGGGTCATATGATATTTGGCTTTTGTTTACCCATTTTATATTAGTCCTTTGATCAGAAGTATATGTGGGCAAGGATTTGTTCCTCTTGACTCTACTAAATCTTCACTGCATAAAAGAGTATCTTACTCATAGCACAATCATAGCTACTATTCATGTAAGCATTACCCATAATAATCCAAGAGTGTATCTAAACCAAATGGCTGTCAACTGACAGAGAATATGCAGAGAATCCACACATTAATATTATTCAACAATGAAGATCTGAGGAAAAGACGATAGTGTTTGCTGTATCTACATCCATGAAAGAAACAAGACAAAAAGAACCACACTACAAATACTATGAACACACCAGAAAAACAACAAACACACAAAATAATATATAGCACTCCATAGATTTATTTACCTAGAACATAAATGATTACTGATCATTTTAAGATTTAAAAAACTTGGGAGATAAATTGTTTTGTTGTTGTTGTTGTTTTTCATAAAAATGAAACATATCATGAATTTCAGAGTATGGCCAGGCTGAGGGGTCAATACCGTTATTGAATTTTATGTGCAGGTAACAGAAAATTTATGGTAATATTCACTGCACCTCTATTCACTATTTATTGTATACAGGAAGCTTGTCCCAGCCATGAAAACATCATGGCAGCCTCTCTACCTTATGTAGAACCTAAAAGCAAAGGGTTAAGTTTAACTTTTAATTTAAACTTGACTTGGATCTCACATGAACTTACCAATCACTCTGCCTGTTACAAACATATTACTTAACATAAAAAAGCTTTTAACCCAAAAATTTTTAACTCTGCATTTTAAAACTACTTTAAATCCATTTACATTTGTTTCATGTGTTACTCATTATTAACATAAATGAAGAACACACATACCAATGTTAATAACTAAGCCTGTGAGAAAAAAAATTTTCCTCTTCAAAGTAAAAACAAGACAATGCAGACAGGTTGCCTACTGGACACTCCTTAGTCTCCCTGGAGACTTCCTATCTGCTTTCAATTTAAAAGGACATTTAAAATGACTACTAATGACATCTATCAATCTTTGCCTTTTGTTTTCCTAATCACACCTGGGTTTTGGATTTCCACATTAGACAGCTGCTTAAGGGCAACTTTTCTATGCTTTTAAATACAAAGGTGTCTCCTTTCTCATCACACTGGATTTGTTCTGTGAAGAATTCTCTAGTGGTTCTCTTTACCTGTGCCATCCACCCTTGGGTACAAATTGCCCTGATGCTTGCTCAGATGGATACAACTGTCTCTACTTACAATACTTTCATTGTACTCAGATATAACTAAGTCACTCAACTAAGAATGCACTGTATGAGTTTTTCAGATTACTTTAGAAGTTAACTGTTTCCATGATCAAAACAACATTCTCATTAAACAGAGATTTTTGTCATTCTACATGGGTTTTGATCCTACTTCTTTAACAAGCAAGGAGTATCAATCAATAGAGAAAAGCTATGCCTTACTGTCAAATGATCTACCACAAAAGTACACAAATATAACCTGTCCTACCTGCACCCCAGTACCCAGCCAAAAGGCAAAACTGCCTTATATTCATAGGATAGTATAAACCCAAACAGAAAAATGCAAATAATTTATACCAAGTTTCAGTATGTATAAAGAAAATGGGAGGTAAATGAAAGACAGCAAAGCAGAGAGAATGAGGAAATTGGAGAAAATTTAGCTTCTTTCAAGTTATAAAGGGGTATGCTTTGTGCCTTGATTTAATATTTTGACATATGTTTGTTCTAAATATTTTTTTTGGTCAGTTGTGGGGCTTGAACTCTGGGCTTGGGCACTTCTGCCACTTCTGGTTTTCTGGTGATTAGTTGGAGGTATGAGTCTCACAGACTTTCCTGCCCAGGCTGACTGTGAACTACCATCTGCAGATCTCAAGCTCCTGAGAAGCTAGGATTATAGGCTTGAGCCACTGGCAACCTAGTTGTTCAAAATTTTTATATAAAATCACTCTAGAGTGGCAAGGGTGAAATTCCTTAATTCAAATACTTACTAAATATCACCAATCTTACCAACCTAAAATCATATTCCTAAACTTGATCCCTGGAATATTCAAGTTAAGAATTTGTAACTACAAACAAAACATTTCATAATATAAATGCGAATGACCTATATTAGCATTCTTGGCAAGGTTATTTGCAAATGAAGGTTAGATAGAACTGTACTGAAATGCTACTGTAAATAGAGTGGTATCCGTCTAAACTGTTTTTGATATAAAATATTAGTGAAGCAAATCAACACCAATTATTTTATTATATGTAATGTATATTAACAAAGATTTTAAGTCAATGTATCAATGGTACTTTGAGAGTAACTTAAATCCTCATAGGTCAGAAGACAAGACATTTGAATAGAGCTTAGTTATATAGTGAATACTACTTTAAAATTAAATGACTGCACTATCAGAAATACTGTTAAGACTTCCAGATCTCTACTTTTTATTATGAATAATTCACATAATAAGAGATTAATACATCCAGAGTACCTTTAAGACACTTAGGAATACATAAAATATATGACTAAGAAGAAAGAATGGGCTACATTAAGAAAAAGAGCTAGCCAAGTGAAGTGCATGCCTACATTCTTAGCTCCAAGGAGGCTGAGGCAGGAGGATAGAAAATTCAAAGACAATCTGGGCAATCTTTCAAGACCTAGTCTAAAAGAGAGGCTGATAAACACAAGGGGAGGGAGGAAAGAAAACAAATACTAAGAAATGCTAATAGTAACACAAAATATACTGATATGCAGAGTAAATCATCAAATATATCTATAGTATCTTATCCAAAGTGATATTAAATCAACCAAAGCATTAACCATTCTATTCTGCTAAGTGAACACTCTACCACTAAGACATCCCTGGTCTACAGTTATTTTAAGTTATTATAATGAAGCTAATTTTTCCTTTTAAATTTCTAAGATGGATATTAAATGAATTATGAGAAAAACATGTTGACTTTCCAACTAAAAAATGAGAAAAAGTTCAATATGATAACTTACAATCATTGTTCCAATATTATATTTTACTACTTTTTTGTGTACATGCCAGTCCTGAGGCTTGAATTCAGGGTCTGGGAGCTGATGCTGTCCTTGAGCTTTTATGCGCAAGGCTAGTGTTCTACCACTTGTGTCATAGCTCCAAATCTGGCTGTTTTTTGGAGGGGGGTGGTTAAATGGAGATAAGAGAGAATATCACTGAGTATGCCCAGGCTGGCTTTGAACCACAAATCTCAGATGGTGAGCTGTCTTCAAATCTCAAGACTCTTCAATAGATAAAGATTACAGGTATGACCCACCTGTATCTGGCCTTTACTACTTAATATAAAGAAACTGACAACTATTGAAAATTACTATTTCCAATACACACCAGAAGATAATTTTGAAAATAGGGACAATATTTCAACAAAACACAGTTTTATCATTTAAATAATTACCTTAGCAATTATTTTGGGTTAGTTTCTCTAATTTTATTCTATACTTTCAACTTGATAGAAAAGATACAACCAAAAAATATAGCATAAATTTAAAAAGCAATCACAGAAGAGGCTCCTAATATTGAAATGGCCTTTACACAGGTATTTCTGATTAGCAAAAACAGAAAAAAGGGGCTGGGAAGGTGGCTCAGTAGTAGAGTGCTTGCCTTGCATGCTCGAGGCCCTGGGTTCGATTCCTCAGCACCATATAAGCAAACAGAAAAAAAAAAAAGCTGGAAGTGGTGCTGTGGCTCAAGTGGTAGAGCACTAGCCTTGAGCTGAAGAGCTGAGGGACAGTGCCCAGGCCCAGAGTTCAGGCCCCACGACCGGACCCAAAAAAAAAAAAAAAAGAAAAAAGCTATTGATGAAATGAACAATTAAGTGCTCAAGAAAATAAGGCATCTGAAACTGATAAGTTTTATTCTATTTTGACTCACTCTTCTGTACCCTGACCTAAAAAGATGAATGAATAAAACCATATGTGATTCCAATTTTCTAATTATTATATTAGAAATACATTAATTATTATGCATGGCATAATAAAATACTATAACCTATTAATGCATAACAGCTACACAATGCAGCAAAAAAAGATTGTAAGCCTGAATGGGTGAGCTACTCTATTGTATCTTGATGGTCTAGAAAATTGTATTAGTGTTATATTGAAATTTTATATCATGTACACGTAACAATAATTTTATCAAAGAAAATGCTCTTGGGTGAAGTAACAAAGTCTACTAACCAATCATTGCTACATAGAAAATATTCAGTGAACATTTGTGTAAATAGATGTTGTATTTTAACATCTACAAGTATAATTGGGATTCCCAGTCTTTTCCAAAACTGAGCTCCATTAAACTATTTCTGCAGAGTACACAGTGTCTCTGGGAAAATTCAGCTATGCTTTCCCAGTCAGTTGTGAAAGGTGAAATACAGAAGACAAAGATAACTATTTACCAGAATTCAGAGAAGACAGATTAAAAAAATTCTTTCCTCAGACACACATAGGACTCAAAACTCCGAATTTCTAGCTTACCATCCTGTCCAGAAAATGTCAGTCTTGACAGGCCAACTGTTCCATGGGGCAATTTCCTCAAAACCAACCATGCTTCCTATTTTCCTTTCCTCTTCCTATCTCCTGCCACTCCCTTCCTTTACAAAATTTGCATATGTAATTTCATAAGTGTATAAATTTAATAATAGATATGTGTATTGAAGTATACAATTTACAACCAGATTGCAGGCCTATTTCTGAACTTTTGAACATTGATACAAGTGGTTAAGAGTAAAGAAAAGATAGAGAAAGGAATAATAGAAAGGCTGAGCTGTTTTTCTGATTTTCAAATCTCACACATAGGATAATCTTGGTAACTGCACTGGAAAAGTTGGAGCAATATAAAACAAATGTGATGAGAATAATATGTTGGCAAAGTTAAGGTTTCATAAATTTTATACCATTGAGTAAGGACACCTACTAAATTACAGGAAGATTATCACTACTGAAACCCTTCTGTGGACTTTATCAAACACATAGTATAAACATAAATACCTATCACAGGATATAAAATTATCTGGTACATACTTGTGACAAAAAATTTTTTTGTGAAAGTACAGCTATCAAATGCAGCAATTTTCTCTTGCAAGACTACGACGAGGATCCTAAAATTAAAGGAGGAAAAAAAAAAACAGGAAAAAAGTGAATGTAAAATTCTATGATTCAATCACAAATAAGTTGTCATGTTAATTTAAAAACAAAACATCTCATAATTATATCAATATACAAAAATACAAGCAATGAAACTTTTCCACCAACAACAGAGATAACTAGAATACAGAGAAAAAAGAAACTTACCAACTATTACCACAAAAAGTATCTATTAACATAATTTCACTTTAATTCAAATTAAACAGAACAAATCAACCTTGAGAATGGATAGCATCAATAAACTGTTTACTATTTACTAAAAGGACTTTTGCAAAGATATTTCAAAGTAATATAGTTAGATGGATTTATATAGGCTACCACTTAAATTATTGCTGAACTTTCTCATATGTATGTACCAAAAAATCCTAAGATAATTACTTCAGTGTAAATTTACTAAGAATCTGCATAAATATTATTACTAATTTACAAAGAGAAAGATTTATAAGAATCAGAAAATTAATTTGAAAATTATAGTGATAATTATAATTTAGTTAACATATTTAAAGTGATATTCCAAAAATATCAAGAATATTACTTTGTAATTTCAAAAATCTCTAACACACGATTGTAAATGTTGTTAATTAACATTTTAATTTTTTCCAAATTGTAGAAATGTAAATTTAACCAAAGATATTAAAAATTGATAAAGAAAATAATGGAGGGGCTGGGAAGGTGGCTCAGTGGTAGAGTGGTTGCCTTGCATGCATGAGGCCATGGGTTCGATTCCTCAGCACCACATAAGCAGAAAAAAGCCAGAAGTGGTGCTGTGGCTCAAGTGGTAGAGTGCTAGCCTTGAGCTGAAGAGCTGAGGGACAGCACCCAGGCCCAGAGTTCAAGGCCTATGACTGGCAAAAAAAAAAAATAATGGAACTATTTAAAATGCAAGATTTTGTTGATTTGCTAAAACAATTTAATTTTCAGATAAAGAATAAATTCTAATGAGTACTATTACATCATTAGAATTTTTTTCTCCTGGTTATGCTAAAACATCTCTATTTTTTCACTGGATTGCTATGCAATTGCTAAAAAATAATTTGCTATGTGTAATATGAAAGTATACTTTTTAATATATGATAATCAACCAAACAGAAAGATAAATTGATACATAAGAAATACCCAATAAAAAAACTCCACTTTTCTAAGAGTGCCTCCCCCCAAACACACACACACACACACACACACACACACACACACACACACACACACACACAAAAGAGTGCCCAAAGAACACTTTATACACCACATCAATTCAAGGCATTCTTAACAATTTGATCTAAGAAGTAGCATTTCTATATGTAAATTAAATATCTGTATTTTACTTTAACATAAATAAAGAAATACATAAAAGAAAATATGTCTCATGGGCTGGGAAGGTGGCTCAGTGGTAGAGCGCTTGCCTTGCATGCATGAGGCCCTGGGTTTGATTCCTCAGCACCACATAAGCAAAAGGAAAAAAACCTGGAAGTGGTGCTGTGGCTCAAGCGATAGAGCACTAGCCTTGAGCTGAAGAGCTGAGGGACAGTGCCCAGGGCCAGAGTTCAGGCCCCACAACCGGACCCCCCCCCAAAAAAAATATATATATATATGTCTCACTATTAATAATCAATAGAAACTTGCTAAATGAGGTGAGGCACACATAGAATACTAGTACTCGGGAGGCTGAAAGAAAGAGATGGAGGAGGATCATGAGTTTGTGGCTAGCTTGGGCTACAAGATAAGATCCTGTCTTAAAAATAAAAACAAAAAAAATCAACAATACAAAATAAAGATATGACATATATGGTGTGTGTTTATATAAAAACACAAGCAAACTATTCTCATTACTTGTCATAATTTCTTGTTAAGGAGAACTTGTTTTGTGCTGGGGATCAAACCCACCATGTAGCAAGCCAAGAACATGTTCCACCACTGATCTCATAATTTGCTTTTAAAAACTCAGAATGGAAGCCTTTAACCTCAGTTGCTGTGTGAGGAGCAGAGAATGTTTTTCTCTTTTTCTATTTCTTTGTACTTTAATCCAGTTATACTGAAATAAATCTTTGATAAAAATTACTAAGAAACTATCATACTACATTTGATCAATTTAAATTATGTCTGTACCAACATTAAAAAAACACAAGAAGCTTAAAATTAAAAAGAAGAAAAACATATATACCATGTATATAACAATGATAAGAGTTCACATGGATATATTATTAAAAGATAAAAGACAGCTGCGCACAAGTGCCTCATTCCTGTATGCCTGCCTACTGAGGAGGCTAAGATCTGAGGATTGCAGTTAGCCCAGGCAGGAAAAGCTATGAAACTCTTATCTCTAGGAAATCACAGAAAAAGCCAGAGATGGGCCTGTGGCTCAAGTGGTAGAATGAAAGCCTTGAGCAAAAGAATCTCAGGGAGAGTGCCCAGGCCCTGAGTTCAAACCCCAGGACTGGCACCAAAAAAAAAAAAAAAAATAGATAAATATTAACACTGAACTCCTCATTCATTATGCTATATGCCATTATTGACAAAAGCAGTTCAAACAGATGAAAGAGTCACATGGCAAGAAAATATAATGATCAATGAGCACTAAGGACTCAATATAAAATTCTAGCTAATCAGTACCCTTAGATCATTAGAATCTAGACTTGAGGAACACAGAAAAAGACCCTTTCCCAAAAATGAGATGGACAAGGAGGTGTGTGCTGGTTATCCTAGCTACAAGGAAGCTTAACATGAAAGGACTATATCCACATGTGGACCCACTCTGGAAGGAAGACAGACTACATTTCAAAAATAGGCACAATTGCTCAGCGCTGATGGTTCATGCCTGTAATCCTACCTACATAGGAGGCTGAGATCTGAGGATTGTGCTTCAAAGCCAGACTGGAAGGAAATTCCATAAGAAACTTATTTCCAATGTACCACAAAAAGCCAGTATTAGAAATATGGCTCAAGTCATAGAATCTAGCCCTTCAGCAAACAAAGATGAGTCATGTCACCCCAGTGCTGAGCTCAAGACAAAGTCAGAACAAGCACAAAACAGTAATAACAATAACCACCAATAATCCAAACTGGAGGTAAAAGAATACACCCATACATATTTACAAAACAACCATTAAGTGTAGGTACACTCAATAATAAATCAAAACTGTAAGCTGGTAACTATTTATCTTAAAGCAAATCTTAAAGCAAATTCACTAAACAGAATTTTTCTTGATGTAATAAAGAAATAAATCGAAGTCATCAAATTGGCTGAGCTCCTCTCTACATGGCCAGGAGTGATATTTATTACACTCTAAGAGAAGAAACATGCTTACCTCTTGTTGCAGTGGAGATCATAAATAGATGTTTTGAACTGAATAGACTTAACCACCTCTCCAGTACGAAGTGAATGTAGATCCACAAAACAGTAAGGTGTGGTTGGGCTAAGAAATAAAAGAAATTATGTTTTTAAGGAAAATTCTAGCTGCCATTATGTTTTCTGAAATACATTAACACATTTCCCATATGTTTTTATTTGTTCTGTTTTCTCTTTGGAAAAGGGTTGGACATTTCCATGTGACAGAAAGACAACACTGATTTTTCTTTTGCGTAGGCCGATGACACAGAAATATAGTCTTGAAGCTTCTACATGCTACACTATCCACCACAGACATGGCATATAAAATAGTGCCACAAATCTCAATGTGATTTATACACAGCTCAAATAATTAACATTTCAAAGATTTTTGCTTGATATCTTAAAATGAGAGTCATGACTTCACAGTTAAGATTAAGGCAAGCAATGATGGCTCACACCTATACTTCTAGTCATTCAGAAGTCTGAGCTCTGAGGATCATTGTTCAAAGCCACCTTAGCAGAAAAGTCAGTGAGATACTCACCTCCAATTAATCACCAAGAAAACAAAAGTGGAGCTGTGGCTCAAAGTGGTAGAGGCCTAACCTTGAGCAAAACTCAGCTCAGAGACAATGCCAAAGCCCAGAGTTCAAGTCCAACAACAAACAAAAAAGATAAAGCACCAGAAGTTCTCATAAAAAATTCAGAGTCAAGGAGCTCAGAAGGTGGCTCAGTGGTAGAGCGCTTGCCTTGCATGCATGAGGCTCTGGGTTCAATTCGTCAGCACCACATCAGCAGAAGAAAAAAAAAAGCTGGAGGTGGCGCTGTGGCTCAAGTGGTAGAGTGCTAGCCTTTAGCTGAAGAGCTGAGGGACAGCGCCCAGGCCCAGAGTTCAGGCAACCACAACCGGACCCAAAAAAAAAAAAGCCATTTTTAAATTTCCTCTGAATTGTACAGAAGTAGCTGTATCTTTTAACACATGCTCATGATGAATACAGAAATGAAGACAAACTTCCCTTAACTAAGTAACTATTGTGAACACAGAGCATGTGTGTTGTAATTTTTATCTGAACATTGGGTTACCTGAAGTACTTCTAAGACAAACCAATAAACAAAGTTTTAGAGAAGTCATTATTTTAACAATTATAAAACTCCAAGGGATAAATTTTATTAATTCCCTTCAGTCAAGAGATTTATGCCAAGTATTTAAAGAATAAGTTTTTTTAATATTTTATTTTTTGAAAATGTAATTGTAAATAAGGAACTATGAACCATAAAACAAAAAAATTAATCTAGATCTACTAAAGAAAAAAAACAGAAGATATCACAAATAAAGCAGGCAAGAATCAGTAAGAAATCACTGAACATTTTCATCAAATCTTTAGTAATAAAAAATACTGGTGAAACTTATACTTATCTAAATCCTAAATAATACTATACATCATAAATTCAGGGTTGATTCAGAACTGCACATTAAATTCTGAAAATCTATCACCCAATTCCCAGAAAATTTCCAAGTCCACCCTATAGATAGGAAGCTGAGCTCCCAATACAACCTATATAATCAAATATTGAAGCATGGGCATTTATTATGTAAAGGAATGAGAAACATCATAGATCACTACAATCAGCACCATTAAGTAATTAGTCCAGAAGAATCAAAAATACTATTTTATTGGTGAAGGATGAGTATTAAGATTTAACTTCTGGGCTTATGCTTGCCAAGAAATACTTTTAACTAACCTCAGATGTGACTTCAAATGGATCAGCACAAATATTACATTATACATATTATCCAAATGCATAATTAGACCTGGAGAAATTAAATAAGCACTAAAAGATACCACTACAAACATATCAAACTCAATGAAAATAAGTGAAATTAGTGAAAATAAATGATAAGATTGAGGAGAAAAATCATTGACCCTTTGTTGGTGAAACAAAATACAGTCATAGGGACAACAGTTTAAGAGTTTCTTATAAGGTAAATTAGGAAATACAGTAAAGCAAATTAAATCTAAACCACCTCGAACCAATAGTTACAAGACATGGTGAGAGCTGCAGTGCTCTACATGTGTTACCACGGAATTTATAGCTACAAGTGCCTATACTAACAAAGTTCTCAAGTCACTAATGTAACTTTATTACTTAAGACCCAAGTAAGTTCTATGCAGGTTAAAAAAAAATCTAACTAGCTTAACATAAAGAAGATACAAATAATTAACATCAGATGTGGAAATAAGAACATTAGCATTGAAAGATGCTATCAGCATCAGTAGATGAATGGATCAAGAAAATGTGGTATATATACACAATGGAATTCTATGCCTCCATCAGAAAGAATGACATTGCCCCATTTGTTAGGATATGGAAAGACTTGGAAAAAATTATATTAAGTGAAGTAAGCCAGGCCCAAAGAAACAAATGTCCCATGGTTCACCTTATGTGCAATGACTAGTGTATGTCTGAGTCAAGCAGAAAAGGTCAGATAAGTTGATGTTAGGGGAATGAACATCAAGATAAGTATTCAAATGTTTTTGTTTTTTTTTTCCTTTCATGCAATATTGTCTCTAACATATTTATAAGATGATTTCTATGTTGCTTTGTCCCTCCCCCACAGTATAACCCATGCTTTCACTGTATTTGATATTGGTATAATTTGTGGAGGGGAAGGGAAAAAACAAATCATTTAACTATGGATGCAGGTGGACCCATTGCAACAATGAGATGTACAAGTCCTTGTGTCGAAAAATGAACTTTACAACTGTGGTGGGGGATGGGGGGTTGGGGGGAGGATGGGAAGGGATGGGAAAGGGAAACAAAGAGGAGGCAACAATGCTTGAAAAGAAATGTACTCGTTATCTTGCCCATGTAATTGTAACTCCTCTGTACGGTACTCTCACAATAAAAAAAGAAAAAGAAAAAAGAAATATGCTATGAGTGATTTATGTCAATAATCTATTGAAAATTAAATTAACATTAAATAAACCTATTTCATTAAATGAAATGGAAAGCTTCTAGAAAAATAACTCATTCAGTAACAAGAAAATAATTAGTACTCAGATACCTCAAAAAAATGAGTCTAGGACCAGTTACTTCACTAATGAAGATACAGAGTTAAAAAAGAATTAATATCAGTCTTTTTCCAGCTCTTCCAAACAAAAACTTCCTAATTCAGTGAGAAAAGCAATACTCTGATATCAAAGCTAGAATATACAAGAAAAAAAAACTGAAGACCAATGTCCCTGAGAAATACAGATTTTAAAAATCAACAACACAGAAGCAAACTAAATGTCAATGTATAGCATAACTCAATCCCATGAAAGAATGATTCAAAATAATATCAATCAATACACATACCACTCACATGATCACCTAAAATGATAGAATAAGCACTTGTTCAACATTCTGTCATGAAAAAATCTACAAAAACTGAAAATGGAAAGGAATTTCTGAACATAATAAGGAGGGGTTCCAGAAAAAGCTCATATATACCATCACACTCCATGGAAAAAATGTCAATCTCAAGATAAATCATATTCATAAACTGCTTTGTTAAATGGCAACTCCTTTGTACAACTATTTAAAGGTAAATTAAAAACTGGAAGAAGAAAAAAGCAAAGGATGATGACCAAGACAAGAACATCTGAATCCAAGGTTGACTGACCACTCATCATTACAGTGAAGTATATACCAACAGCAATCAAGCACCAAAAGTAAAAGGCATCCATAATGGGAAAGAGTACAGGTGATAAGATCCTGTAACAGAAAATCCCAAAGAATCCACAGAAAACTAGTAAGTTCAGCAAGGCTACAAGGTACAAGATTAACATAAGAAACCTAAAAATGAATGATGCAATTTAAAAGGATCATTCCACTCACTTACAAGAGCAATACAATGGCTACTAAAATTTCAGTGCCCCTTTCTTTAAAAGCAAATTGAGAAAAGCAAAGTCCTAAAAGCAAATTGAGAACTGGCCATATAGCTCAATGGTAGAGCACTTGTCTAGCATTTATAAGGCCTTAGGTTTGATTCCAAGAACTCTTTAAAAATGAAATTGTGCTGAGCGCCGGTGGCTAATGCCTATAATCCTAGCTACTCAGGAGACTGAGATCTGAGGATCATGGTTCAAAGCCAGCCCATGCAGGAAAGTCCGTGAGACTCTTATCTCCAATAAACCCCTCAGAAAACCAGAAGTGGCACTGTGGCTCAAGTGGTAGAGTGCTAGCCTTGAGCTGAAGAGCTGAGGGACAGTGTTCAGGCCCAGAGTTCAAGCCCCAAGGCTGACCAAAAATAAATAAAATTGCAAGAAGCCAACAGAAGCCAAAACAATATAGGGAAAAAAGAACAGTTAGAAGATAAATATATGTCAAATGCTAGTGGGTCACACCTGCAATCCTAGCTGTTAAGGAGGCTGACATCTAAGGAACAAGATTCAAAGCCAGACTGTGTAGGAAAAAGTCCATGAGACTCTTATTTCCAAATAATCACAAAGAAAAGGAAAGGGAAAGGGAAAGAGAAAGGGAAAGGAAAGGAAATAGAAAAAGAAAGAATAAGATCCATATACATTTTATAACTTTCAAATTTTGGAAAACTTCATTGATGAAAATATTGTGACAACTGAAATAACATCAGATGTAGAGATGAGCAAAACAGAATTTATAACTTTTTTAAAATGTGCCATGAGGTGAGGGAAGGAAACAAAAAAATTTGCTGCAACAATTAAATATCAACAAGCAAGAGTCAGACATAACTGTGTATGTGTGTAATGCCAGTAATCCCAGCACTCAGGAGGAAGGGGAAAGGAAGATCACGAAATAGAAGCCTGCCTAAGATAGTGAGTGAGACTCAAAAATACAAGAACAAAGACAAATAAAAAAACCTAAGATACAATGCCACATCCAAGATGGTCATTATTTTTATAAAAGAAAATAACAAGTGCTGGTGAGAAAATAGTGCTGTTGAAATTGTGGCCCACTATTGGTGGAAATATCAAATGGTACAGTTCTTATAGAAAACAGCTTGGCATTTCCTCACAACGTAAAACATAGAATTACTATATGGCACAGTGATTACATACCTAGGCG